GATGTGGAGAAGCTTGAGAGAATCCAGAGGAGAGCCATGCACATGATCAGAGGTCAGGAAACAGACCTTAATCAGGAGTGCTCATCAGGATCTGAGGAAATGTCTTTTCACCAGAGCACTCCAAGGGATGACAAGATCAAACAGTCACAAACTCAGCCACGACCAGTTCAGGCTGGACATAAGGAAGAACTTCTTTACTATCCAAGCCCCCAAGGTTTGGAATAGACCGTCAGCAGAGGCCAACAAAGCACCCACTTTGAACGCCTTCAAGACACATTTGGATGCTTATCTTGCTGGGATCCTATGATCCCTGCTGACTTTCTGCCCCTGGGGCAGGGGGCTGGACTTGATGATCCTCCAGGGTCCCTTCCAGCCCTAATGTCTATGAAATCTATGAAAAAAGGTTGAGAACCATTGCACTAGACTCCTGTGGAGTCCTTTCCAGCCCTGCTTCTGGGCTATGTAAGGGGAACCTATAGGATTATTTAGCGACTTTAGCAAGGGTTTTGATACCATCTCCCACAACATTCTCTCAGGCAAGCTAAGGAATGACAGGTTGGATGAATGTACTGCAAGGTGAACAGAAAACTGGCTGGATCATTGGGCTTAGAGGGTAGTAATCAATGGCTCAATGTCTAGTTGGCAGCCAGTATCAAGTGGAGTGCCGGTTTTGTTCAGCTGCCTAGAAGATGGCATAGAGTGCACGCTCAGCAAATTTGCAGATGACACCAGGCTGGAGGGAGTAGTAGATACACTGGATGATAGGGCTAGCACTCATAGTGACCTACACAAATTGGAGGACTAGGCCAAAAGAAATCTCATGAGGTTCAACAAGAACAAATGCAAAGTCCTGCACTTAAGACAGAACAATCCCATGTACTGGTACAGTCTGGGGACTGATTGGCTAAGCAACAGTTTTGCAGAAAAGGACCTGGGGGTTAAAGGTCTGTCTGCCTACCTAATCACATAGGGTGCTTCTACACATGTGCTTTAATGCACATTAGCCTATTTTAATGCACATTAAAGCATCACAAAAATGTGCTCTTTAGCTAAGGTTTATTTAAATAGGCTAAGGCACCTTTTCTAGTACCTCACAATGGAGGGCATTTTTACATGTGCTGTGGGATGTGGTGCTGGGTGTTTTAGTTAGCAAGCTGTGCTAATTACAAGTACTCGCGTGTCACATGTATGAGTGTCCCTGCGCTGAAAACACGGTGGTGGGGTGCTTTGAACTAAAGCTCATCGAACGCGTTTTATTTCAAAGCACCCTTGCTGCCATTTTTTCAGCACAGAGATGCGACGGGGGGGTTATACAGGTGATGCAGAAGGCTGCCAGAGCACCTCAGTTGCTGTGCTCCAGCAGTCTGCGCAAGTGTATAGGAGCCTGGAAAGAGATTTAACACTCACACACCGGGTACCCAACACACACACACACACACCCCCGCCCCCCGCCAAGGAGATTTAACACCCCCCCCACACACACACACAC